GTTGATGCTCCGTATGTATTGGTTGTCCTGGATGGCAGTGGTGGGTACGCGATTTCCTGGGACTGAAAACCACAAAGTAGGAGGCAAAAATACTAAACATTGTCCAACTCGTGCTCAGTGGTTCTGACTAGCATAATTTATAAGTGCATAAAACATGCATGCAGATTAATCTTTTTGTGAGTTTGTTATAGTTCTAGTGTCATGTTATGAGGAGAAGGGAGAAATGTGATGTAGGAGCATCTTTTATTTCTAAAATTATCTTAAAAACTGCCCTCTCACAAGCATCTTTGATCATGTTGTTAGCTGAAAATTGTTTCTCAATCTGTATTTGAAAAATTACCCTCTCATTTCCGAATTGGATATGAATGCAGCCTAATGATTGATATCCAAGTTTTCACAATACCCTGAACTCATTTTTAAAAAAAATCCCCCCCCCACTTATGTACCTGAGATCTCGGGTCGCAGTTTTCAGCTTCCTTATTTAGTAATATTGTCACAGTTGATATTAGATTTATTGATTGATTGTATATTGTTTAACGTCCCTCTTGAGAATTTTTCACTCATATGGAGACGTCACCGATGCCGGTGAAGGGCTTCAAATTTAGACTATACTCGGCACTCAGGGCCTTTGAGCAGTGAGGGTTCTTTATCGTGCCAACGTCTACCGTGACACGGGACCTACAGTTTTAAGGTCATATCCGAAAGACCCGTGACTTTCACTTCTAGTGCCGAGCGCTTGGCGAAGGAACAGTCACTACCTATGTTTACGTCTTAGGTATGACGCGGCGCCGCGATCGAGAATCAAACCCGGGCTTCCCGATCACGAAGCGAACGCTCTACCACTAAGCTACCGTGACCGGTAATATTTAATTAGATACCTTGTGAATAATTCATATTTGATTAGCGCGCATTGCTAATCAAACATAGCGCTGTTTGTGTGAATGAGTGCCATGTGTTAATGTTTTGTTGGTCACGTGAGGTTTCTATTTTTAGCTTCCCAACCGACCAGGTATACGAGTACGACCAGTGGACCAATGACAGACCTCTTTCTGATAATTAATATGCATGTATACTAACTTCTTGCACTATATAAGCGCTTATCCCGCCAAATAAGTTATCCATTAGCTTTTACTTCACGGTTTATGAGGTCTTACCATTTATGAAGTCATCGAGTTATACGATGTCTTGATTACTATTATCAAAATATTCATTATTTTATGATACTGGATACCTGGTAAGATTAAATTCTAATGATGTAAATACTTATATCAGTTTTGATAATACATAAAATATCTTAATGACAGCGATGTGAATTTGCATGTTGTGTAATTTGTAACATTGTTTAGCGTGCTGTATTTGTCTCTTGTTAATGTGTGTGTTGTGAGAGTGTTTTCTATGTTTCTTCGTTTCTTTTCTGTTATCCATAATAAAACATCATTACTCGAATCCAGCGTTTTCTCTGAAACAATTGACCCTGTGACAATATTATTTTCATCATTTTAATAAACTTGTTTGCTGATCTCTCATGAGCATGCATAATGTTTTCAGTTAATAGACTCTACAACAAGAGGCCCAAGGGCCTTGAATCGCTCTTCTAATAAATTGTACAACCTATCACTTGTATTTGAAGCCTCTAACCCTAAGTATCCTAAGACCCAAGTTGCATCACCTGACAAAGTTTTATGATTCTTAGCCAATTATTACTACTTTTTGGTCTACATTCTTGGAAAACCCAAAATGCATCAACTGACAAAGTTTGATTATTCTAAGCCAATAAATACCTAAGATACATAAATATAACCATAAAATGTCGAAAAAAGGTCATCATGACCTTCATTTGAGTCGACATTTTTCAGAGTCCCAAGATGCATCTGCTGACTAAATTTGATAATTCTAAACCAATAAATACCTGAGTTATTCAAAAGTAGGTCACTGTTACCTACTTTTTGATCGACATTCTCGGAAAACCCAAAATGCATCAACTGACAAAGTTTGATGATTCTAAACCAATAAGTACCGGAGATACTTAAATATAGCCATAAAATGTCGAAAGTAGGTCATCGTGACCTACATTTTGGTTGACATTCTTTAGAGTCCCAAGATGCATCTGCTGACCAAGGTTGACTAAGCCAATTAATACCGGAGATATTTAAAAGTAGGTCACCGTGATCAATTTTTTGGTCGACATTCTCCGAAAACCCCAGATGCACCAACTGACAAAGTGTGATGATTCTAAACCAATAAGTACTAGAAATACATGGATATAGCCATAAAATGTCAAAAGTGAGTCACCGTGACCTACTTATTGGTCGACATTCTTGGAAAACCCAAAATGCATCAACTGACAAAGTTTGAATTCTAAGCCAATAAGTACTGGAGATACTTAAATATAGCCATAAAATGTCGAAAGTAGGTCACCGTGACCTAATTTTAGGTCGTCACTCTCCGAAAACAAATGGCCATAGCATTAGCTTATATCAATTGGATGGACAAAGAGAAAAATTCTGATATTTTTTTCTATATACATAGGTTCCAGACACTGAGATTTTAGAAAAATGTGCTTGACACTTCCAAGCAAATCGCTTTGACTTATAAACATGTGATAAAGATATCTTTTGGTGTTTTAGAAACTAAGTTCAGGTCCATGATGTATGTGATTATGCAAAAGTTTTTGAACCTTTATCAATTCTTCCTTATTTAATTATAGGTATACTTGTGCTAAATGAATGTGAACAGAAAACTTGTATTTGTACGTGTCACAGGATCATTATTTACTATTTACTATGGTTTAATTTGCGCATGCGTCATTTCATTCATTCATCCATTCATGGGTTGTAAGTTCATGACCTCTGATGTCATACGGTGAGTATGGAATGCGTATGGGTGTGTTTGACTGGTTTTTCTAGTCACTGCGCATGGCTGGCGCGAATTTTATTAACCCTTGCATGAAATAATATTTTTATCACTTCTTATGAAAACCCTCGCAGAGACAGACGTTACTATTGACTTACATCAATGTAACCTATCCATATAAATAGGAATGTATAAATTCTGTCTACATGGTAAGTTATTTTAATTAAACTATTTTATAATCAGTAAATTAAATTCTGAATTAAATAATGACATAAATTTCAGTTAAATATTTAATGTGTGAATGAACGGTACGTAAGGTATTCATATTTATTGTAGACCACCATTGATGATATATATACCATGCCATAATTCCATTTGAAGAATCATTATTAAAATATATATACATAGACTAGTGAGCTGTTTGTGTTTTGGTCTGGAGATGAACGTATCTACGTATTGTGACTTTAATTAGAAAAGTTCCACCTTATGACAATGGCGCCCAACGATTGGGTCTCCGGCGCAAACGTTCCTAATAAATAATTCTTCGAGGGATGATTCGTGGTGGTTATTGTGAAAGAAGAGTTTTCTGTGTTTTATAATTCCATTGATTCATTTGCTTATTGTGTGATTCCATTCACGGGCCTGAGAGTGCACTACTATACTTGTAAAACCAGTTTACTACGCTTCAACGAAATTACCGTTAGCTAGAGCGGAGAAAACCAGTTTCCCCGGGAACATTTTCTTTACTACTGTACTTCCGGATGTGTGACGTCATAACCAAGATGGATGCGCCCATGAATCCTGGACATTTGACGACTTGTGCACAACTGTGAGATCTCAAACGCGGTTCGCGGACATTTATGAGATAAACAATCCGTGTGAATTTAGAAACTGTTTCATATTTTCATTTTGAATTGTTGTATTTTGTTGTCAATTCCATTTTGTTTTCATTTGTCATGTTTCATGTACGAAAGTGTGTTGCAGTTGCATGAGACGAGTACGGTACAGGTAAAATTCGCGTAAACTTTATTTTCTAAAAGTATTTTCAAAGTTTATATAAACACATTGACCTGAAGACATTTGAAATTAACTGTGTGTTATCTAACAATCCTTCACTGCATGTAGTTATTCAGTTTGACTAACATTTAACAGCTACAGCGCCGCAGAGAAAATTCGGAAGAAAGTAAGTAAGTCAGCGTTTTGTGAATATTGTGAATTTGAGGTCAGTTTCATTCTCATTTCCATATCATATCATTGCATATCTAGCGCATAGCGGTTTTACAATTTTAAGGCAATTTATTTCAAGGAGATATTCAGTCTAAATATAGCTTATTATAGTGCATAACAGAATAGACTAGTACTATAGTATATAGACAGTACTTGCAATCTGAATTGCTAAGTTTAGAACAGTTTTGCTCTTAGTATAAGTAGTTAGTGTGTCAAGAGTTGATACTATGGTTTAGCAGAATTTTTGACTGATTGATATTGACTTTATTTTGAAAGATATTCAGGTGTTTTGATACCATAGATATCGAAATCCCATTCCGCACCTCGAATATGGCTCGACTGTGTTGAACGTTCGGAAATTTATGCGAAATCAAAGAACGGTTTTCCAGGAAAAACACGGTGAGTAGTTCATGTTTTGTTGTTTTAGAAAATCTTTTAGTGTACATATATCAGAATTTCTAATTCTGAGTGTGGTTATTTTCACCATGGCTACCGGTGAGGGTAAAACACCAGAAAACCATTTAGATAAGGAAGAAGAGAATGCTGATGACATTCTTGAACACATTGAAAAGGTCAATCAAAATCCTAATTATAGGGTAGTGACAATGGAAGAGTACAATTTACTTAAAGCTAGTACTCCTAAAGCAGGTCCTGGTAAAGTTACGGAAAACAAATTTACCTTTAGTACCCCAACGGGTCAGTTTGGGCCTAGAATTAAAGCTTTTTATGATGCTGTGCATAAGACTAAGCCTAAGACTGAATTTTTAAGCCCACTCCCTGAAACTCCAAATCCAGGTAATCCCAATGTTTCACTTATCACCAGTCAACTGAGTGTTCCCAAATTACCTATCTTCAGTGGGACAGATGAACCCCAGAAAGGTGAAGTAAAATATGAGGTCTGGAGTTTTGAGGTGAAGTGTTTAAGAAAGAGTGGACAATATTCAGAACATGTGTTGTTAGAAGCAGTTAGAAGGTCTTTAAAAGGTTTAGCTCGTTCAATGCTTGTTCCTTTAGGTGAAAATGCATGTTTGTCTGACATAATGCACAAGTTAGATGGTTTCTTTGGTAATGTTGCAACCAATGAAAATCTTATGCAATCCTTTTACAGTGATTTTCAAAAAGAGAATGAGTCAATTGTTATGTATGCTTCTCGTATTGAAGAAACCATTTGCAAAGCTATACAGTTTGGGTTCATAGACGAAATAGCTAAAGATGCCATGTTAAGAAACAAATTCTGGACAGGTTTAGCTAGTCAGTCGTTGAAAAATTCAACCAGACATTTGTATGACTCTATTAAAGATTTTCAATATCTTCTTAGGGAAATCCGAAAAGTGCAGCAGGAGGAAGCTCACGCAAGTACTCGGCAATCTAAATCAAAGTCAGCAGCAGTTCATGCAGAGAGAGCAGAAGTGACAGAGAGTCAAGAAGACATGAAGAAGGAACTTAGAGTCTTGATTTCAAAGATGGAAAGGTTAGAACGTAGCATTAATTCTCAGTCATCCAGTTATCAAGATATGTCTAGAAGATTGAGTAACTTAGAGACTCAACAAAATAGAAACACTTCTTCTAACAGTCCACTTAGTCAATACAAAGAAAACAGAGGTTTTAGTAGGGGTAGAGGCTTTAGTAGAGGTTATGGTAGAAATTTTAGAAGCAATTTTAGAGGTCAGTCTTACCAAAAGCATCAAGGTCAAGGTGAGTATAGTAAGAAGGGAGAGAATGACCCAAAAGGGTATCCTCTTCCGTTATAGGGCAAACTGAGGAGGTCAAAGGTCATAGCCCTGAAACTGAAAAATTGATCACTAGAATGGTTGGACATGTTAACCAATGTAAGGTAAAGTTATGTGACAGAGAAACAGATGCGTTGGTAGACACAGGTTCAATGATAACTTGTATGTCAAAACAATTTTATGATTCTCTAGAACCAAAGCCCGAGCTTAGGAAATTGGAAGATTTTCAGTTAGATGTTTATGGTGCAGGTGGGCACTCACTTCCTTTTTCTGGGTATATTGAGGGTGAGTTAGAAATTCCATTCTTGAGTCAGAAGACAATTTTTGCCCCTATATTGGTGAGTCAGTCATCAGATAGAAAGGGTGGTTCTGAGTTTCCTTTAATCATTGGCACCAATGTTATCAGAAATTGTAAAGAGATTTTTGGTCAGATGGAAAATGTTTCAGAAATACCTGAAGTTTGGAACTTAGCATTCAAAGGTATGTGTGACACTGCTTTGAAGGTGAAAACAACAAACCATTTTCCAATTAGCTTAGGTCCAAAAGAGGTCAAGATGATAACAGGGTTAGTCAGAAAATCTTATGACTTAGAAACTGCAATGACTGAACAGTCAGATACATCTCAGCCAGGGAGCTTAGTTATATGTCCCAGAGTGGTTAACCTTAAATCTAAGGTAGGTAGCACATCTAGAGTACCAGTAAGAGTTTGTAATTTGTCAGCACAGACTATTAAGATCTTACCAAAGTCTGTTATTTGTTCAGTTAGCCCCATCAAGGTAGTCGATTCATGGAAACCTGAGTCTGAGATTGAGTTTTCAGAAATCAAGGGAGGTAACTCAGATATTTTCATTGAGTCTTTAGGTGCCAAGATAAACAAACAAAATCTTACAGGTGAGGAAATGACAACACTACTAAGTCAGAAACGTACTGACATTCCCATTTTTTACTGACAAACTTAGAAAATTACTGACAATGTGCTGTCTTTACTGAAAAACTTAGACAATTACTGACCTTTTTACTGCCGGTACTGATAAACTTAGAAAAGTGCTGACAATCTTAGTCGGTGCTGATAAACTTAGACAATTACTGACCCGTTTACTGTCCCTGCTGAAAAATTTAGACAAGTGCTGACATTTACTGATAATTACTGTCCCTATTGTTCTCGCTCTCGGGGAGGATGCAGTGGTGTGAAAATGACTGTGTGTTATACTTTGCATTTAAAAACAGTCTTATTTTAATTTTTGATAAAAAAAAATCCCAGGCAGTTATCATTTTTTTAATCTAAATATTATTGATATCTGTAAAATAATTCAGACTAACTATGAGTAAATCAAGTTTAAATTTATGTGTTGAATATATCTATCCCTGTTCAATTAAAGAATTAAAATTAATTAATCATCAAGTTAGTTTTCATCTATTTATTTCTTTGCAGACAGATATCTGACTTTAATGTTGAGCCCCCCCCCCTTTTCACGATCGGAAAGTTGCATCAAGTTTCTTTTCACAAACAGGACAGATGTCTCTTGTTAGAAAAGGAAATCTTCTAAATATTGATAATTACTGATTTTTACTAGGTAATTCAGTTTCCTAATGTTCTCGGACATCTGAACAAGTCATATAATTATATACCTCTGTTTACGATTTCCGGTTTCATTTGCTCATACGGGAGTTCCCCTATTGAACAGTACAGTGTTCCATATATAACTTGTACTATGCCTTGTTAATTTTGTCACTTAAAACATTATTTCGAAATGAATGGTTGCTTAGTCGCTTACACAGGGTTCATCGGTAAGACTAATATTAGCAGTAGCACCACTCTCAAATATTTTTCTTCTCTCTCTCTCCCTCCTCTCTCACTCTCTCTTAAAGATACAAACAGTATTGACACTTTAAGTTACTTAAATCCTTGACAAGTGCTCCGTTTATTCACATTGCCGAGGGGGTTAGATCAGTATTTAGTTTTTAAACTTAATCTTTAAGTATTTTTTAATCATGATTCAATTTTAACAAAAATATTACATGTTTCGTACGTTCCATTTTTCCCCTGTAGCTATCGGTGAATTGGAATTAATTTAATTGTATGTGCCGAAATTAAATTTCATCTCATTAAAATAGGTAGCCGTAGGGTGTTATGATGTTAATATAACCAGTTAGAGATTTTGGTCATAAGTTGTGAAGGTAATTCCTGGGCTAAATCCGTTCTTGAGCATAAACGGGGAGAAGGAATGTTGGCGAGTATAACAAAGCTGTGGCGCTGTGGGCCGTAATAAGGGTAAAGATGCCGTATTTCTTATAGTCTTCCAATATAAAGTCCAAGAATTGGCAAACCAGGTTTCCGAATTTATTAAAGACGATGGTGAATAACAATCAACATGAATTTTAACAATATCTTACGAGACTTGATCGAGTTGGATGTGGCCGGTAGAGCGTCGGGCCTCCAAACTGAAGAGATTAAAATGGTCATAGATATTTGTAAGACTAAGACTTAGAGTATACAATAATTGACTTTTGACACTAGTTGAGTTAATTGATGGACAGGTATGTTTCTTTGATAGAATAAACACGAACGAGGTTATAAAGTAATTATACAAATAAAGTTATTGGTAAAGGATTAACAAATCCCGAGGCATTAACACCTAACGAGCAACAGTTATTTCGACAGAGACACAGATTGTCAATTGGAATGTCTTAATCCTATTTCAAAGGGAATGAGATAAATAAGACACATTTAATTACAAATAAGCACATATTAAAAACAGATTAAGAATTTCACAGATGAACGTCCGAATTTAGTGTAAAATATATTAAAAAGTTATTTTAATTCAAAAATGTTAATTTTTCTCGGTGATATTAACATAATAATAAGGCAGAATGCGGACTTGTCTAGTAAAATATTTTACGAAGAAGTGAAAATTGTAAGTCATTAGTCCGTCGAACCAGTGTTCACAAATATTTATTTCGAACCCTCTATAAGCCCCCCCTCCCTCTATGCACACACGTTACATGAAAAAAAAATCTAGTATACCGGTACTTGAATATGATTTATAAAAATGTGTAAGTTTTTCGAATGATGCAAATTTCTTTGTCCATTTGATCAATTTTTACCCGTCCCGTAATCATTATTTATTTGATTCAGGTTTTATTCTTTTCAAAAGATTAAGATTATTCGCTAACTGTAGGTTCCCACTATCTTCCGTGACGAGTTACCATTCATCTCTCTCTCTCCCCCTCCTCTCTCTCTCTCTCTCCAAAAAATCAATGTATCGACCCAGGCAAAGTTTAAAATACATGTATAGTTAAACTCCGGCTGATTTTTTTACTGTCATAATACTGCTGCATATAAATTGTGTTTGATTTTTAATTATTCTTAATTACTGAGAAAAAGTTAAGGAAATATATTATGAACTATTTTTATTTGATTGATAATCAAACAAATTCCTCACTCAACTGTCCCACACACACACTAACACGACTTAACAAAAAATATTAGGAACCAGTAATTTTTACAAAACTTTGGATGTAATGTACCCCTTCTCATATATTTATTTTTGCTTAAATCTTTAATCAATTTGTGCCTTTCCCCGGTTGGTTTTTACATCAATCTTCTTTTTCATTAATCGTTAAATTTATCTTACGTCGGTATATTAAAAAAAATTATTTACTTAATCTAAGAAGAAGTTGAAGGATTGTACATTGCATATTTGTATTACGTATGTGTTGGTGTTGAATTTCTCAAATTCAAACTATCTTGAACAGTCTAGACGAACTCCAAAAACGGCGTTAACGGAAGTGAGAATTTCAGTCCAGAAAAGACTCCAAAAAACGAGTCCAACGCATGCGCAGTTATATAAAAAACGGTGAAAAATCGTGAAAAGTGGGCTCTTATAAAAAGTGTTTTTGCAAAAAATTGGATTACCTTACAATAATGTAAGTTCTCAGAAATGATTAATGATAAACGGTTTTAGAGAACGTATTTGTTAGAATTTTGATTTCATGTGCAAATAGTTTTTAATTTCAAGTCAAAGTTGACCAACTTCGAGGTTCAGCCAGACATCGTACAAGTAGGATACAAAATACAAATTAAACAGTCGTAATCTTATGAAAACATCTCTGTGGTTGATAATTTGTTTGTAGTAACTAAGTTAGTCATTTTAGAACTACTTTTACTGATTTTAGAAGTTTATTTTCTAAGTATTAAAGGAACGCTGGCGAATTTTCAGTTCGAATTTCCTCTGTCTTTCATGTCTATCGTGTACGAATGAATTTCAGCATGTTTAGATCAGCAATGAGCAACTGCATTGTAAATACATCTTACCAATAATTAAAAAAGTACTGAATTGATGGTTTTAATCATAAATAAGAGTCGATCAGGTGACAATTACATGAGAATCCATTCAGTTTCCACATTTCCTCCGAGGGTTTTTTGAAGAAAGTTCACGTTTCAAGTTAGATCAAATACAAAGAAAAATAAACGTTTGGGAATTAAATATATAATAAAAGGGAAAAATATGTAAAATTGAACAATGTAATATATATGTTGTAACTGTTAAACACTGACCGAATTTTACCTATTTGTATTATTATTTCGTCATATAATCCTGTATGACATCTGAATATTGAGAGCGTTAGTTATCATCGCTATATACCTAATGTTTTCACATATGAATAGATATAATCATTAAAACATTTTTAGAATTATAATCTATGAGTTTAAGAACTTTAAAAAAAATCACGGTTAAAAAGTCTTCTCAAATCGAACCTGTTAATATCTCTTCTCCGCCGCCAAAATTGTGCGGTTTTTCATAAAAAAAAAAAACGATATATGTGTCTTAGAAGTAAAATTTAAGCATCTTTATAGTAGGAATGGCATAAAATTTAAATCAGGGGGACAATAAATTAAGTTAGAAAATTAATTCTTACCGACTTTATTGAATCCCGGTGTCGTACGTATATCCCAAATCACTATTATGCAAGAATACAGAGCGATAAATAAGTCAATAACCACTTAATAATTTAATAGGTACAATTATTTATTCAACAAAAATTGAAATCCAGTCACAGTTTACTAAATACAGCGCCATCATTCAGTCGTATTTGTGGAGAAAGCGAACGACAATCCATCGTTTGTTTACATCGGAAGCC